CAGGACAAGGCCTGGTCAACCATCATCAAAGATCTACTCTGGGATGAGCCATTAGGTGTGGACCAGATGTTAGAAGAAGCTGTGGCGATTTCTAACTCAGAATAGGGGAAAACACAAACTAAAATTAAGGCACTGCTGTATAAGTGAATTTATGTGTAATACAAAAAATGTACCTCTTTTTTACATGTACATATGAGATTAGGGATGATTTTTCCCCGTCTTAGAATAAAAATGAAAATCTTCGGGAAATGCATTTTTACCAGTTAAAATCCTGCTCATCTTTTTAAGCTTCTCTTTCCCTTCTCTTGCCCTTTACCATTGACCGTTGTTTGACCACGGCTAGTGACAGCTTTACAGTATGAAATAGAACTCATTGTTGTCTTATTCAATATGGCTTAGCTGAATAAGTCCATAAATGCATTAGGGTCCTGTGTCTCTCCCTGTTGTTCCGACTTAGGTGAACTGGCGTTCAACCCGGCAGTGTTGTAAAATGCAGATTGGGTTCACTGACAGGCCTTCCATTTTATTACGCAGTCATGAACAGCATTGTAAACTGTCACTTTCATTCACTTATTCTATCGGGAATAACAGCCATGAGAACCGATCTCTCTGCTTACTGGTCACATTATCAAAGCACTAACATTGTTGGCAAGACATGGTGGAATTTTTCCTTTTTTGGTTATTGATGGCGAGATGCCATCAAAGGATGAAAAATGTATATTGAGATTCACTGTGATAACACAATATATTTTAGCCCTTGTCCAATTGCATTGTTTTGTTGGGTCAAAAAACCTTTGGGAAGGCATTATTTTGAGCTGAGCCGAACCAATTTATTGATTAATTGATTTGTTGTTTTGCTGAAATCTTCCAAGCAAAAATTCTAATCATTTACACAGCTTCTCAAACGTTACATACCTGCTGCCTTTCTATGTCATCTCTTTTTTGTGACATTTTATAGACAAAATAAATTACTGAATTATCCCCCCAAAAAATAATAATGAAAATGATCATTCGCTGCAGCCCTATTTTTGAGTATAAAAACGTATTCTTTTCTGGTTGCCTTTCATCATTCAAACACCCAGACACACTCATAGGTCAATTTAAAGTAAATTATTATTATATTCTATATTATTATATATATTTATTGAAAAAGTTTCCCACAATTAGATGATTGCTAGATGATTTTTAGCCAAAACAAGAATTTTTCTTCCTAGACATATGCTGGAATATTAGTTATGATATGGACTATGATTATACAGTAAGCGAGTAGTGTGAACCTGTCAAGTGTTGAATTGGCTACTATTAACAGGGCTTGTTTTCCATTTGTGTTGTATCAGTCATCTGTTTGTTAGGCCTGTGCCAATAAATGATGCTGACCTTTGTCCATGGCTGAGATTTAGTTTAAGGTTAAATGCCTTGCCCTTAAACTCATCTGCTGGGCCAGAGTGTGTGGCAAGGTCACCACTCCAATCAACCTAGTGTTAACACAAAGCCTGCTTGTCCCCTAATGAATTAGCGCTACAATTCCTCTGCAAGTCACTACGCCACCCTCCTGCCCCTCGCAGGCCTTCCCAGCCCTGCTGCCCTTTCACACGCACCCCCTAGCCCCTAATTTTGAAATGAGTTTTATAACTGGACAGTAAACTTCCAGTGGCTTAATGATGATGACTTCTTCATCTGCCCAAATGCTCCTTTTGTCCACCCCTCCTCAAGCCCTGGACCCTGCCCCCGTTCCCTCTGGTCACACCAGGCCTTAAACCCTGGTTCACCCCACTTTATAGTTCCACAGATAATCCCCTAGAACACACACACACACACACACACACACACACACACACACACACACACACACACACACACACACACACACACACACACATACACCCTGAGGCTATTATCTCCACTGAGCCCTGCTCTGTCTCCTTCTCCCTCTTTTTCTCTCTGTTGCTGCTGACTTCAGCAATGGCATTCAGCTGGAATGTTTGCCTTTGTTTGTATGGCCCACTGGAAAGCCATGAATGACCTTAGCTCATCTGCTATCCTCACTAGCACCGATTTGCACTTCAGGGCCCAGCAGGTAGTCCCGAGCAGTGGGAGGAGGGGGTTTTGGAAGAAGGTTGTGGAGCTTTTATAAGGAAATTAGAGCCATGGACTGCCACCCGGATAGTAAACAACAGTGCGAGTCCTCACACCCTCGGCGTCAGGTAGCCCACTTGAAGTGGGTAGAAAAGGGAATTCTGTTGCGGGAATTTTCACATGGTGGTAGCTTCGTTTTCTTGTTTTGTTTCTTGACAGTCAAGCTGCAGGATTGTTTTCTTATTATAAGAGTCAGACGTGCTAATTAGCACCTTGGTTGCTGTACTTCCTCCCCACCTGATACTCATCTCTCATCTCTTGATTTGTTGGTTGAACCTCATCTGCAGAGGACTTTTCCTGCAGTTGCAGAGCTTCAACTTGCCATGTTGTGTGATCAATGGAAGCCATCCTAATGTGCAAGGCTAGGTTGGTTACTTACTCCAAACAGTTGTCATTTTGGTTGAGTCAGCTAAGACAAAGCTGTGGCACTCCACTGGGAATCCTAAGAGAGGAAGAAGCCCTCTCCCCCTACATTAAGGAACCACAAGATCTCCCAGAACCCCCCACAGCTGATCATGTGACTCGTCTTTCCTCAGGTGGCGGTGGTAGGGATACTTCCCCTTTGTCAGGGACTTTAGCAGGAGCTCAATGCAGCGGTGAAGGATGGGCTCGGGGGCGGGCAAGCATTCAATCCACACTCTTTTGTTTTTTGCACAGTGTCTTTTGAGGCCAAAGAAAATGCCGGGTTTACTTATTATCTCCATTCTAAATGGGCTATTTAAGACGGGCCATGTCAAAGTCAGGGGCTTAGAAATAAATCACACTGACAGCTCTTTTCCCCCAGTTGAACTTGTAGCTATGCTAGTATCCGATCGGTCATTGTAGAGATTTCACTTTTGTTACAGCTGATAGCTACAGTTAAATAACACTATCGCTATTACTTCAAGATGTCAAACATAATCCAAGGCACCGCTTGCGACTCACCTGATATGTCCTGTGTGTGTGGTCTAAATCAGCAATAGCCGGACAAATTTCACAGTCAAACTCAAGCCCAATGTTTAGACAAATGTGGCTGATTGAGAGAAATGAGTGCATGAAAGCCCTGTAAGGACTAATGGAGGCCCTGATTGGCTCGTGTTGTGGTTTACAGCAGCCCTCACGCTGACTGCGCCCTAATATAACCATTGGAGAGGAGGTGAGAAGAGCTGCACACAACTTGATTAAAACAACTGTTGACTGTGTCTGTGGTAATGAACTGGAACATCAGTCACATGGCTCAGTGAGCAAGAAACCCGGGCCAGTAAGGGGAGATGTTTATAATGAGAGAATTTATGGCTACAGAAATTAAGCAACCAATGCCAGAGTTTATTTCAAAGATAAATTGTATTTTCTGTTTCATGCAGATTCATGCAAAACAACAACTAATTTCTAGGCAATTCGACATAAATAGCAGTAGCAGTTTTAACTCTTAATGAATGTAATCATTCAACCTGTGGGGAATTGCTGGTATTAAAGAGACACTTACAAACTCTGTGTCATGGTAAACAGATAGTACATCTTCCCTGCCATCAAGTAGATGTGAGTTTACTCAGACCTACTGTTTACCTGATAAATTCTTACTGACCTCACTTGACATTAATTAGTTGGCAGGAGAACAGGCACAGGAGCCTTACAGGCTGCCGTACAATTCATATTGTAACTTTACATTTACATTTACGTTAGTGCCACAGTAGATGATTCATACTGTATGATATTAGTGTTAGAAACTGCAGTATAAACAATGTCCTGGCGGTTCACAGTTAGACATGGCAGTCTGACAGCTGGTTGTGTTTACCATTCAAAGTCAGGAGATATTTTAGTGTGTGACAGAATTTCACCAACTCAGTGGCACCCCAATAGCTCACCTGGTAGAGCTGGTGCCCCATGTACCAAAAACCCCAGCCATGGCTTTGAATCCAAGCTGCGGCCCTTTGCTGTCACTATTGATTTAAGGCAAGAAAAAGATCCCCCCAAAAAAGAGTTTTACCAACTCTGAATAGAAACAATTTAAAATGTAATTACAGGTAGAAATGGCATTTTGCTCAGATGTTGTAGACGTGCATGTGAGAATTACAGTGTGATCAATCTTAAGCAGCTTTGGTTATTTCCAGCAAATGAAAAAAAACATCACTAGGCTATAATGACGTACAATCCCTGACATCTGCCCACGCCTGTTGATTTGTGGTGCATTTCCGTTTATTTATTTTGACCAGATGAGCCCCTGGTATTTATAACGGGAGTAAAAGCCCAGTGTGGGGTCAATCCCGGGCAAGGCTACGAAGACAAAATGCTCAAGCTGACCTGACATTCTTGTCCCCATTTTGCTGGGGACGGACTCTCCCGGCTCTGAATTGGCCCCCAATAAAAAAAAAAAGTTGGGAGTAGAAGCAAAACCAAGAGACTGAACTGAGCGTGAGAGCAACAGTTTGATTTAAAGACACCCCCCCACCCCCCATCCCCCACCCCACCCTACCCGACCCCACCTTCCCCCCACATCACTAAAACTCTTTCCAGAAAATGAAAACTTCCACCTGACACAGTGCCAACAGCGGATGTCTTGGCGTGCTGGGGGTCACGCGTGGCAGGGCGCCATGGATGTGTGGCTGCGGGGAAATGCGGGGCTTCTTCTTTGTTTCCCCACACAGCTCTGCAGGCCTCCAAGAGCATCTGTCACCACAGGGGGTCAGCAGGGCCAAGATGAATGAGCCCCCGGTGGATTCCCTCCCTCCTTGGCAAATGGCACAGGACGGAGGAGGGCATAGGGGACTAGGGGGAGGGGTCTGTGTGGATGTGTGTGTGTGTTTGTTTGCATGTGAGTGAGAGAGGGCGAGAGAGAGAGAGAGAGAGAGAGAGAGAGAGAGAGAGAGGGAGGGTTTCTGCTGTACTGAGGGGAAGAGTGGGATTCCTGTTTCTTTCTATAGAGTATCATGACAAAGGTGACTTGAGGCATACCAGAGAAGAGTGGAACTCCAGATGCTGTTTGGACTAATTCTTTCCACGAGGATTTATTGTCTAACATGGACTATATTTGAAGGAAAAAAAACAGCTTCACATTTTGGATTAACTGCATTTGATTTGGATTTTAAGGGTTCATCCAGCAGTTGAGTAGTCATGGAAGGTACAGGAGAAGCTTTTTTTTAACTTCTTGCTGTGTGTGTCACATGTGGCCCTGATGTGGCATTACTGAGATGGGCTTTTAGCACCTAATTTAGAGAACATGGAGAGATGTTTGTCTTTTTTCTCCTCATTTCTTACACCATCCCCCTTTTCTCTCATGTCTGATGGGCAGTGTCTTCTCACCGCTGCTTTTCGAATGTTAAGAGAGTGCTGAGCTCTTTCTCGCATTTCAGCTATTGGTATGGACTTTAAATGTTAATGCATAACAATGAGGTGAAAACAATTAAGATATTTATCAAATTTTCATTAACATTTTTATCTACAACTGAGGTGAAAAGACAAATTTAGTCAATAGGTAGTTTTAATTTATGTATAAATTCTGGATTAACCTCTTTTTTTCCTTACCTGTAGTTGTTTAATAAGCTCTTTTAAACAATTGCTAAGTTTAACTCTATAGGCAATATCAACATATTCCTACCTCTATTTCTTAAATATTTATATGGAATGTAAAAATTAAAACAGCAAAAGGATTTCTTCACATTTATTCAGAAATGTGTTGGCTTTGACTTGAAGGATCTGCTGAGTCAGAATGTGGTGAAACCAGGTTAAGAGGGGACGCAAGTTTGATCCTGCCTCTCTCCCTCTATTGTAAACACTAATGTAATTAGGCAGTTGAGGGAGAAACAACAGAAGGACTGGAGAGAAAGAAAAGGAAAGGGTTAAAAGTAAGACCATCTCATTTGGTTAGAGTTAAATATCTAAAAAGAAATTATGATAAATGGCTGTTATAATGTTTAATTGTGATTTAGGGATTTTAATCACATTGCACAAACCAACCATCTGTACTGCACTTAACAAGCATACCAATTACAGAATATTATATATTATATAATAATATTCATATGTTTTATTCACTTTTATATTTGCCATTGTTAACGTTTAATTTATACAATTGTACAAATAGAAAAGCTATAGATTTCTTACTGCCATATTTTTACATACCTCAAATTAGATTAGAGCTAATCATTAGTTTAGGCTCACATCATTTTTGTTTACAGTCTGTAATCTAAAATCTAAGAAATAATACCAGCTTTTAATGAAACAATTGATAAATGACGAAAATGAATTTGCTCAGCAGTGTAGTCTATTTTCTGTAATCAATGAAATTTTTCTATATACATGATTATACTGTGTATGTTATATTAAGTAGCCATATGAATGTAATTTACATATGTTGGGTGTGTGTACATACACATGCAGTTGCACTTGCATTAGAAAGTGTGTGAGAAATGCATGTCTTAAACCATTGCCTTGAATCTAGTCATTCCCTCAAAAGTCATTACTGGAAAAACAGGACCTTATTAAGCACCCGGGGCTGGGCTCACGTTAGTGTCTACGTTTTCGGCTCCTTCATCATCTCGGGAGCCATCTGCGTCTCCTGTGTTGTCTACCCTTCACAACTAGATAGGCATCAAAATATTTCAAGACTTTGCTCTCTGGGTAATTAGTAGAGTGTGAGACCTTTGGTTAAGATTCATATCCTTAGTTGAAACACCCACAAGAAGGGTAAAGCATGAACTTGTGTTTTGATTCTTCAGCCAGAATAGTACATTTCACATGATCAACACTACATTGAATTCTGATTTTCTGCTATCTTAAATTACATTTTCAGTAAGCGATTCAGAGGGTAAAGGGGTACAGGTTTCTGTTTGACATATTGATGTTTTTAACTCTTTACTTTGATTAGCTGTATCAAGCTGGCTAATCATTCACAAAATGAGGTCCAGTGTGGTCAGTAAAGGAAAGTTAAATCAGCTTGTGTACATTTGCTATTTGAAGGACTTGGACCCCAGACCAGCCTCCCTCTTATAGCATAGCACCACACAGTCAGAAGTGATGACGGGGTTGATTGTGACAGTCAGTGTTTTGAAGGAAACTTTGCCTGTTATATCAGAGCCTGAGTGGCTAAACAATACTTTGTCAAAGGGTCAAAGTAACTGGCAAATCCATTCAGAGTGAAATGAGTGTGTGTAGTGAGGCAGCTACAAACTGAAACACCCAATTGTGTTTTGTGAAAACAGCCCCAGGGCCATGGTGTCAGATAACGTCTTTTTAGCCTCGTAATAGTGAGTACATATGTCATGGTTTGAGCAACTCTTAATGTCTTAGTGGCTGTAAGTCCACCCATTCATTTTGTGAATGGGTATGTTCTTTATAACGGGTGACCTCTAGTACCAGACTATCTGTGGCATGTTTCAGAAAACACACAGTTAATGTTTTTGGCTTTCCATACAAAGTGTGACTTTTTAAGATAAGCTAAAATGTGTTGCTCAAAACTGGTTCCACAGACCCTGTTTGTTGAGTTTTTAATGAATTGAGATTAACACAAAGAAATGTATCATACTGGCTGTATTCATGTTCTTCATTGTTCCATTGTCAGTAACACACTGTGAGCTAACTAGAGATCTCCCTACTCTCCCCCAGGTCTCGAAGCACTGAGTAAAATGTCTTTGCTGAAAATTTCCGCTGAGTGGAAGTGATCCAGCATGTAGCAGAGGTGTACAAGTCCCTTCACGCCTGGGAACAATCCAACAATGTAAGTCACCTTGTTGTTTAATGCACTGCTTGTGTGCTGTTCAGATGTGAGCGTCTGTGCTCTCATATTTTCTTGGTCTCAAATCTGCTGAGTGAAGATTAGACTAGCTTATTTTGACCTGGGGTCACATTCATGCAATCTGTTGATGCCACCCACGAGCTGAGGAACGGCCTTGACTGACCATCTGACTGGCTGAGAGGCAGTTTTTAAGTCACCACTCAGTGTCATTGGTAGCCATTAGTCTTTGAACATTAAACTGCTTCTCCCCGGTAGAGTCCACTCATTATGTTTGACCATCCATCAAGCAGACTGCAGCCGCATGACTCACCTGAAATACCCCCCTACTGCCACTGCAACTGACCTTAGCAACCACCTGAGTCTCACCCCAGAGACATCCGTTAAGCGACCTCTGCCACAGTCACGCTTTGTTTTAAGTTGCGCAGGTGATAAAAGGTCCCTGTGTTCACCTCCGGCCCGCGAGAGGTTAATGATAAATCTGTCCACTGAGACTTGAGGGTCACCCAGCCAAAGAGGCCTCCGGAGCCTCCTTTGACTTCACAATCGAAACAGGCAGCGGCTGCTCAAAAACGCCCTGAGGCACTTTTTTCCCCCTCTGTCTTTGTTTCTCTGTGCAGCCACTTTCCTCCATCAGTTAAGCAAGAAATACTGTAGCTTCATTCTGTTAAGCTTCTTATCTCTTTGACAGCACAGTCAGGCACTGTTAATCTTGTCTTTTGTCTGGGTTGGTCAGATTCCTCCCCAGGAAGGTTGTTAGGTAAACACAGGGTCTGGAACCTGTCCAGGCGTGGGCAAATGAGACCTGGGAGAGGAAAGGCAGCTCCAACTTGATTCCCACCCTGCCCATTATTGACAAAATAAAAAGGTTCAGGGTGTCTGTGTGGCCAAAAGACACTGTGTATCTAGTCGATATTGATTAAGTGACTGACATATTCAGTGTGTGGTACAGATTAACAGTACAACTAACATGCAAATCATTGATTTAGTTGCTGCAAAGTGCTTTTTTAATTCTTATCCCAAATGAGTGCCCACCTCAATGTATTTGACATGATGTATACATTATGGTTACATTCACATTACAACTCATAGATTTTGGCTGTAAAATACATTCATGAAATTCAGTAATGAAATGTCAAGTCAGTTTAGAACTAGAACTATTCAATCGACAGATAATTAATCAACAACTACATTTATAATCAATGAAGAGTTTCAGTTGTTTTTCAGGCAAAATTTGCGGAATATTCACAGGGTCTAGCTTCTAACATGCAAGGCCTTGCTGTTTTCTTTGTCATATATGATAAAAAACTTCATATATTTTGGTTTTGAACTGTTGAATTTTTTACTACTTTCTAACTATTTGTAGACAAAATAACTAATCAATTAATTGAAAAAAAGAATCTGCAGATTAATCACTGATGAAAATGACAGAGTTGCCCTAATGAATTAAGTAGTTGTCATTAACTATTACAAATTACAAATCTAACACATGATTAAACTTTGAAAAAAAAAAAACATTTTTTTAATGGTAAATAGCTGCATTTGTATTATGTTTTCATTTAGTGAAATTGCTACAGCTTCATTTCTAGTTTAGCCTATGGGCACCCTAATGTTGTATTTAAAGGCTGCTTCAGCAATGTATGCATAGAAACATGCACATCTAGAATCCAAGGCTAATGTTGGATTGGAAAAAAACAACTTTGAAATAAATTCTGAGGTCAGGTGTAGGTCAGTTATACAACTGACTATTGTGGAAATTAAAGCTACAACACACAACCTTGTAAGTGCTTCAACAGCTGCACAGGATCTTTGTTAGACTTAAATGAGGAGTTTGTGCATTTCCCAACAGCTGAAGTCTTCAACCTGGCCTCTACTTGGCTGCTTTAGTGTTGATGAACCACAATTCTCGTCTGCACCAGTCGATTTGTAGTCCAAGGACACACAGGGAAGGCATTTCAGGCCAAACTTGTGTGTCAGGAAAGCTGCCAAAATTCCCTTTATTTTCTTTTCCACCCCACACAGTTTGAAGATCTTTGATGGCTTGGTATTAAAAAAAGGATCCAGTCAAATGTTATGACAAACTGAAAAATAGGAGTTTGAGTAGGAAGCCCCATTGTATAATGACACCGTGAAGTAGTGTAGCCATTGGTCAGTGCTGCCTTTTCACCATTTTTGGAGTACTCTCTTTCTTTCTCCCCTCTGTCGCTTTCTGGTGCTCTGTTCTTTGAGACAGCATGCTTAGCCCTCTGTCCAGCTGCCACCTGCCACCAGAGAGCCAGCCAACCTCAGGCCCACACAGCCGACCCCAGCAGATGTCCCAGAGTGGACACTGGGGTGGCGGGGGCACGGGGGCAGACTAGGCAGAGTGACACGACAGACAGAAGGAGAAAGAGCCAAAAAAAGATTGGAAAAAAGCCATTGGCCTTGGCCATTATGTTTGGGCTGACATAGTGAAAACTTGTGTGTGTGTGTGTGTGTGTGTGTGTGTGTGTGTGTGTGTGTGTGTGTGTGCGCGTGTGTACGTCTGAGTGACTGCACTTAATTTGAGTGCATGTGTGTGTTATTATTTGCAGAAGCCCCTTGTAAACCAGACACATTTATCACAGGACAGATAAGACCAGTAACAGAACATACAGTGCACACTTACAGGGCTGCAACTTTATTGACAGATTTATAGTTTGGTCTATAAAATGTCAGAAAATATTGAAAACATCCTACCACAATTACCCAGGGCCCAATGTGATGTCTTTAGATAGTTTGTTTTGTCTGACCAACTGTCCAAAGCTTTAAGATGTCCCATTTACTATCATATAAGTCAAAGAAAAGCAGCAAATCTTCACATTTGAGAAGCTGGAAAAGCAACTTTTTAGCATTTTTGCTTAAAAAATGTACATCGATCAACTTAATTGACAGATTTTTTCCGGTCTGAAGACTTAAGATAGGAAAGATACAACTAGGGGATGAATACATCATCGTCAACATAGCTGATTTGCCCCTTCTTTAAAAAATAACTGTACTCTTCAATACAGACAGCAAGAAGTGTCATTGGTAAGCTTGGGCTTTCTGGTGCTTATAGTGTGTATTGATATAAAAGACAATTTTCTCCTTTTCAGTAACATTGGGTAAATTTTCATTTCTTGATGTAGCAAACCAGCATGAAACCTATCCGAGTGCCACTGTATAAAACATGATTACTTCAAGTTTAAATGTACGGCACAGCCTGATAATGCTTAACACATTATCTAGTGTTGTGCTGGTGCAGGTTCAATCATTTTAACTAGACACTGGAGGCATCTACAGCTTGATGCGTAAAGCATAATGCTTTAAGGATGCATTCAGCTCAAGGGCTTCTAACAGACAATCACTACTGAACTAATTGGTTATACCATAATCAAACAATTGTCATGCATTAGGGTATGTCAAATTTTAAATAAAAAGCCAATATTGATCTACACTGACCTAACCCTCAGAAAGATCAAGCTGTGTTAATTTTAAAGCATAATTGCATTTGTGTGAGGCACCAGTTGCTGGTTTGTTGTCTTTGCTATAAAGGAATTAATTGATGAACTGAAATAAACAGTGCCGTGACTTTGCAGCCTGCTCTTTTTTGTTTGCTCCCATAGATAATGGGGAATTCATACGCCGGGCAGCTGAAGTCTGCTCGATTTGAAGAGGCTCTCCATAACTCTATTGAGGCGTCACTGCGCTCTAGCAGTGGAGATCCACAGCCCATCTTCACACAGCTCTACCTTGAGCCGGAGCCGTATCCTGGTAACATAGAAGGTAGGAAGCTCACAGCAAACAGCAAAAAAGGATCTGGTTTGACACTACATCAGGTTTATGGGAATTATTTATATTATTATAATTAAGAATGTATTTTTCTTTACACAAAAACTGCTTCTAACAGTCTAGTTTCAGGTTCACTGAAATTCTGTCTTTCCTGGTGCAGTAAAATTAAGTGATAAAACCTTTTCAATTATTGCACTTTTTTGGAATTGTTGAAGTTGAAATTAATGCATTTTCTTTGTCATGCACCTCTGGTTTACATATTACATAAAGTATTTAGTAACCTAAATAGTGACACATTATCAATATTTAGATATTAAGTCAAAGCTATGGTCATGTTGTTGTTTTAAACACATTTCAGTAATACTTTATATTATGTTTAATATGTCTGTATCTCCTAATAATTTCCTCGAAAATAAACAGAATTGTAATTATCATTTATCAACCCATGTATGTGTAGTTGTAGTTCTTTGTACCTTTTGGCAAATGTATTATTTTGCCTGTTCACCTCAACTGCAATGCACCAACTAAAATAATCTCTAGGTTATTGTTCCCTAATTCACTATATTTCCCTATAATTGCCATTAAACTACAGAGTTCTTTCAAGGAAATTACTAGAACATTTTTTGGAATTTGTAGAGCTGTAAAAACCAGTGTTACCCATGAATCAAATCCAGCTCCAGTGAAAATAATTTGGATTTTAAATGTCCAACAGACATGAAGCCAAAAACCGACCTCCATGGGGAGCCGCCAGGCCACGAGCTTATGAATGGCCACTCTTCCAATGATCTGGAGGAGCTGGAAGAGGATGATGACTCAGACAGCAGCAGTCCCCCACTTCCCTACCTACAGGCCCCCGCACCCGACGGCTGCTGCACACTAGATGGTAACATCCATACCCAAAAAAGCCTTAATTTTCAACTGTATAACTCAACATATTTCTATTGAATGAAACCTTTTAAAAAGATTTTAAAAAATACACATATTAAGCTTATTGTTAAAGATGATGTATCTTTGTTTTCATCTCTTAATACATAAACTGGATATACCCTAAAGTCCTTCTTTATTTCTTCACATTTATTACATCTGTTTCTTCCTCTCCTCTCGTCAGGCTTCTGTCAGGCCGGCAAGGACCTCCGCCTGGTCTCCATAGCAACAGAGCCCATCGAAGTCCCAGCAGGCTTCGAGCTGGTCGGTGCCAAGTCTCCCAGCGTCCCCGAGCACATCCTGGTGTGCGCCGTGGACCGTCGCTTTTTGCCCGACGAGAATGGGAAAAATGCACTTTTAGGTCAGTCTGTTCCCATGGTCTGAGATAAGAGAGTGAAGGAGACAGATAGCTCTCAGCATCATTTTAAGCTCCCGATAGAATGAATACATTCTGTTGTTAGGACTGTGCTGTCGCACACAGGACTGGAATAATGTTTGTGAAAATAAGATTATAATTCCTTTTTTCTTATATTATTTCCAGGTTTTTCAGGAAACTGTGTGGGCTGTGGGGAAAAGGGTTTCAGATACTTCACTGAGTTTTCAAACCACATCAACCTGAAGTTATCCACCCAGCCCAAGAAGCAGAAGCACTTAAAATACTACCTGGTGAAGAATTCACAGGGTGCTCTGTGCAAAGGACCCCTCATCTGCTGGAAAGGTAAAAACACTCCCAGCAAAATCCCAGCACTTCAATTCTGCATTTATATGACACTTCTGTCTCGCATTGCTCCAATTTGTTCTGTGATGTTGTTCTGTTACGTACTGTTTGTCCTCAGTTTTTGTCATTCTTCTCTGTGCCCTCTCAGACTGTAAAACTCGTCAGTTCTCCAGCAGCGCCTCATTGTCCAAACCCAGCTCATCGTCTTCGCTTAGCAGTAAAGAAAACGGAGGCACCAGTGGACACAGCTCCTCACCCTTTTCCCTTTCGGGTGAGACTGCACTGCAGGCTGGATGGATGATTAACCCCTGTGCAAAATGATTATACTGGCATTCAAACAGCTGTTTGACTAAAATTATGTAGAATTTATTTCCTACATTCTCACTAAAATGACAACGAGAAATAAATAAATTTCACCAAAAAGAGCCACTGCGTGACTGTTGGTATACGCTGAGGTTCATTTATGTTGTTGCCATAGAGACAGGTGATGGTGGCTAAGCCCGGAAATGTATTAGGTGAGCATAGTCTGACACTTGAACCACTACACCGCATTTAGCTTTTTATGACTCAGATCATGAGAAGGAGAAGGTTTTGTCGTGTTTCATCAAATTTTGTTGCTGTGATGCTTTGGTGTTTATTCTGGTAGCATACTGATATTTCTTCAATTGTAAATTACCTTTTCAGCACATTCTCTGTTATTTTGATGTTATTAGCTGTGGTTGTTCTGTTCAGTATCTGATATCAGTTGCCTATGTCATATAATATTTAAAAGAGCCATTTGAAAAGCAGTGTAATGTAGTAAAGGCCTGAATCATTTCCTAAGGGGAAACCAATAACTAAATGTCACATGACTCTGAGGCAGATTCTACTTCTCTTTGAGGAGAATATTGTTCTTCTCTGACCTTTCACATTATGAGTGCCTGTCCCCTCGTTGATTGAAAAAAGCTCCTGGGCTTATGGTATTGATTTGTTCTGAACCTGAAAGCTGCCTATCAGCAGAGCTCTCACACATTAACATGTTGGACAGCTGAGCTGTAGGGCTCGTTGTTGACATAACTCTTGCCTCAAATCTCCTGACTGCGACCTCCAGGTACACCCTGCTCCCAAAGAGCTTGCTGACTGTTGATCTTGAAATGATTAATGAAAAGGGGAGCTATGGTTTGTTTGTGTTGTAGAGTGGACATTGGATAGTGGCACAGAAGAGTCTTTTGGGATTTGGTTGATACATGGAAGCCAAAGGCAGCTACGTAAATTACCAATCAGGGGAACAGTGGGCATTTAAAACTGCAGTTTGAGTTTTGTGCCATCCCAAAGATTTGAAACCCATCTGTGGACAAGGGTGCATCAGGCACCAGCATTACATTGTGTTGGTGAGTGTTATATGTAGTTTAATGATAAATTCCTGAATGGGAATCTTTTTTTTATCTCCAGATTCTCCACCCACCAGATCAACACAAGCCTCCTCTGTCTTTTTCGGGAGTCAGGACATCAGCAGAGACTGCAGTTTCCTCAAACCTCTGGCGTCCACACCTGGAAACAAGACTCTGCCAATAGGTGATACTCTTTTGCAGTACACCTGCAATTTTATGTTGTTTTGTATCAGCTAATTACCTTGTCAGTTTATTTCCCTGGTGCACTATTCTTTACTTTGTATTATTACAAGAAACATGCACAATACCATGCACCATATACATTTTAGTCACAATCCCACATTCCTAGTTGCATCTAGGCTTTGACACTGGAAAAAGGGTTGCTTAGCTACAGTTTTTTTGTTTTTATTTTTTTTAACGGTGTAAGTATAAAGCAGATGGAGCCGTGGCTGACCGTGGAGCCAAGATTAACATCGTGGCCTGCTTAGACACACACACACGCACACACGCAGGCATGTAACATGTACACACAAACACATGATGCTTGTCTGTGCATTGTATATACACTAATCAATAATGGAGGAAGGAATGCTGTAATGACTTTTTAAGGCCTTGCTATCCATTAGCCTCTTTACAAGGCTGTGATATTGACATGCAAAGGCTACAGATACCAATCAATATTTTAGCGTATTGCAAACATAGTGAATATGAAATTGGAAAATGTCCAATGTGGTCATTGGCAATAGTCGTTCACATATAGAAAATCAATGAGCCACTCTTAGTTGCTCAGCCTCTGCAGATAGATAGTGATCAGGAAAATATTTTTATGTTTGCATTTTATTCATGCATTCATTACCCACTCTTGCGCCATCATCATGTCAAAATTAAAATTAAAATTTGTCAAAAACTATGGTTTAGGACTAAAACTAATGACATTCCCATCAGCCTCATGTGTACTTTGCATTTTGTACTAATTAGCAAATGTTAGCATGCTAACACTTTGCACTAATAGTGTGACCATAGTAGCATATTCATAAACATATTAGCATTGTTACTGTGAGCATGTTAGTGTGCAGATTTTAGCATTTAGTTTAGACTCTTAGTCCTGGTTTCACAATCATTAAATAAATAGTAAATATAGTAAAAGGTCTTTACTATCCCTATTGTATTATTGTGTGTATTTATGTGCATGCGTGTGTCTCCAGTACCCACAGCGCTGAGGGTGAACGGGCCAACTAATGGTCTGGGTGTTGATGGGCGTCCTCCCTTGCTGAGCCCCTCCCAGGTCTCTTTAGGGCCTCAAGGTCAGGCATATCGTGCTTCTGACTTAGGAGACAGTCCTGGTAAGTCCTAGACAAAATAAAGTGAATATTTTTAGATATATACATTCATTATGAAGGTTTTGTGCTCTATTTTGTATATCAACATTCTCTGTGTCTGTTTCTCATGTTCAGTATCCTCTGCCATGAATTCGGGGCCTCCAAAGAAGCGCCACCGGAGCTGGCATCCCAGCGCATTGGTACCTGTCCCACCGACAGCTGTCCCTGTGCCAGCCATCCGGCCAATAGTTTGTTCTCCAGGTCAGTTCCTGAACCCAATCAGGATGGCTCTTTGAGCTATAATGTATTCTACACAAATCAGTGTGAGATGGGTTATACATTTTGTGTCTCCTTTGTTGGGTAATTTCACTGAGTGAGTGTGCATATGTGCCTGTAAGCATGTGTTTGCAGAAGTGTGTGTCCGTGCCCTGTGTCAGCAAAGGCTGTGTTGTTTATAACTCCTCCCCTCCCTCTGGGCTGGGGATGAGTATGCCACATCCCTGACGTTCTGTGGTTGTCAAGGATGATTCAGCCAGCATCTCCATGGAGATAGAGTTCGAGAGTTTGTTGCTGAAATGATTTTTAAAAATTGCATGATTGAGGTAGATTTCAGCCACATCATGTAATTGTGGCTATATATACTACCGTCATTTCAAATAAATTGTCTGCCCTAGATTTTTTTCTATCATTCATAATGGCATAAGATATTATTGCAGTGTTTTCTGGCTAATGTTAACATTAATATGTTAAACCTCAACCCATGCCGTAACCTAGCTTATAGTAACCAATCTAACAGAACTGACATGTAATCTATTAATTCCCTCCAGGTTCTGTATTAGGAGTGTCCTCTCCTCAGCCACCTGTGACAGGAGTGATTCAGCCCCAACCTGTCACCGCTGGAGAGACGGTTATCGTCCCTGACAACCTGCTCAACTCTTCAGGAGTTCGTCCTGTCATCCTCATTGGTACAAGCATTATTTCAGTGATCTGCTCCTTCTTAAAGCTGCAAATTAATTATCATCCTGCAGAGCATATCAGAAGAGTAATCAATTAATCAACGTCAGAAAAACTGGGTCAGAGCAAGTTTTCAGAAAATATGAGTAGTTTACTGTGTCAGATGACAAACGTCCCTCATCATAACAATGTATGATACAATGTATGTGGCTTGTCACATAGCACTCTTTCAACAAACACCAACAATACTGTTAGAATATATATAGCTCTGAAAGCAGAAAGTGACTGTATGTTCCTGGTGTAAACAGATATCCAGGGTTTCTAAGGGCTTTTCTGTTGTCAGCACACATTTGGGTGCCACAATCAATTTGTTAACAATTTGTCATTAATCTATTATTTTGACTTGGTCTTCATTTTTATTTAGTTTGCTATTTCCCATCTGACTTGTCACAGCTAGCCTCCTTTTGCACCTGTGTTGTGTCTAAAAAGTCTCTTAAAGCAAGCTTATATTCATAATAACTGTTTAAGTGCATATGATTTGAAAGTGTTACTGTTCAGCTGAACAAATATTAAGCTGTTGTAACTTCTTGTTGTTTCTAGCTACTACACATTTCAGTTTTGTCTAATGATGACTTTTCTTTTCAGGGCATGGCACTTTACCTTATTTGTATGGGAACGTTGGGGATATAGTTGTGAGCCCCCTGCTGGTCAGCTGCTATAAGAGCAGCCAGCTGACAGAGAAAACCCTGGAGACATTGGGCCTCAACAGCAGCCAGCTTCTCTGTGTGGAAACAATGATTCTGCTCACTTTACAGTATCTTGCACGTTTAGGTAAGCAGCAAATGCAAAATAAAAGCCTCACTCTCACTGGGATCTTAACTAACATGTTGCATGTTTGCAGTTATCAAACAGAAGAGGGTAGCGGGGTGGATGACCGAGAGGCGCTGGTGTCTTATTTAAACAGAAACATCGCTGACAAAACAAATAGCTAACTTTGTGTATTTTGTCATATGTATGCTTCAATATTCTAACTCTGACTGAGTTGCACTAAAATGCAAATGTCTCAAACATCAATGCCCCTAGCTATGAAACGTCAGTTCGTCAGTCATTTCCGTTTTTCTTGCAGGCTCGGAGCAGATTCCTCTGAGGGAGGAGCTGGAGCAGATTGTTTTGAAGGCAATGTTGTGCTGTCCTGGGGGTCCTGCCATCTCTCCGTCCCAGCTGCCCTGGTTGGCACGGCTGGAAGCCAGCGTGTCTGGGGGCAGCGTCCAAGTCGTGGTTACCCATAACTCTTTGGGAGAGGGCATCTCTGAGTCACTTCGTTCTCTCAGTGAGGGTCCTCACCACCAGCAGTGCCTGCCCACATATGTAGTCATTATATGTGCCTCTAAAATGAGCGGCAACGAGTTCTGCGTGCTCGTTTTGGGTGAGTGCTGCAACCTGGTTGCTCACTTTGGGTATATGCAATCATTTAACGTGGTTGTTCAACCAGTCTGCACAAGATGTATGTTCAAATTGTAATAATCTAATTTTAACTTACATGTTTGATGCAGGAAAGTACCAAGCACGGGCCTTATCTGAAGGCATGCTTACAACCAATGAGTTTCTGAAGGAAATCAGCTATGAACTAATCACAGGAAAAGTCAGCATCTTGGCGTCTCACTTCAAATCCACGTCACTAGGTGAGTGCTTTGCCCATAGAACTATGCTTATTGTTTTATAGCTGATAAAATGGTATAATTTTGTCCATCAATCACAAGTGCTGTGAATTATTTAGTATGCATACATGTCATTTGCTTGACATTGTAGATATTTTAGTTTGTTGTTGCTGCAGAAACAACAATTACGAGGCAAAATCAATATGTAAAATATAAAACAGAACATTCCACCTCAGTTTGATGATTCCTCTGATAAACGCATTTTTGTGTTTATGTTTTCACAGTGACTGTATTGTAGAACAAAGCGAACATTTGTGCACAGCTGTGTAATAGCAGCCTGCCTGTATGCCTGGCTCTGTGTCTTTGTGTGACTATGGTTATTTCATTGTTTTTAGGGGATAATCTTGACAAGCAGCTGGTGCGATACCAGCGTCGAAGGAAGGGTCAGGTCATTCAGCCCTTTCAGGGCGATGTCACTGACTACATCCACTCCCAGGAGGTTGCCAGCATGTCACCACCCTCAGACAGAGGTTAGACTGCTCTCCATCGTACTAATTGTCCAAACATAACTGCTTGACTCACCTGGCAGGGGCTTTTTTTTATCAGTCAAAGCAATCAATACATCTTCTACATATACTGTAAATCCATATGACGCTGAGCCCTGTGGTGATTTATCTGTACTCCAAATTTCACTGGCACAATTGGGTCTTAATTCTAAACCATAACCACAATCCTGTTAAATATTTTCACTTATTAGTCAAAAGCTGCAGCTTTAGGGTGCCCTGATAGCTCACCTGTCAGAACTGGCGCCCCATAATAAATTCATATTAATATTTGGTAGCAATATTCTCCACATTTGAATGTCTGTATTACTTGAAGTAATTCTTATTTAGTTGCATATTGAATTGACAATTATATTGATGCTTATATTTTCTGTTTTCCTGTAGCAGAGATGTTAAGTAAGGTCTTTCAGATCTATCCAACCCAGCTGAGCGTGGCTCGGAGCCTCCTCTCTCAAGTCTGCTCGATCGCCGACTCAGGGACCCAGAATCTTGATTTGGGGCGTTTTTGTAAAGTGGATTTTCTTGTTTTGGTCCCTCCTTCTCACATTCTGGTACACCAGACAGCACAGCGCATCCGACAATCAGGTTTGTGTCCAACGGCAACTTCACAGATAAAGATTCAAGGATGACTTTTCCACCTTCTTGTATTTGAAATTGTCAGAACTTTGTGACTACAAGCATTTATTTTAAAATTAATTTGTCATTTCTTCTTTGTTTTACTCAGGAGTGCTTGTGGACCTGGGAATTGAAGATGTCTCCTTAGCCTACCAGAAATCAGACAAGTACGTGGTACGCCTGGATGGTGAAGTTCACACCAAGATGGAAGCCTTCATGAGGAAAGTCAAACAGAACCCCTACACCCTGTTTGTCCTCATTCACGACAACTCACACGTCGACCTCACAAGGTAAGACGACTCTAGGATCTGAGTTGTTATGGCTGCAAATCTAGCCTTGTCCTTTTTTAAACACTGATTAAAGTGGAAATAGGCGAACAGCTGCCAGCAAGAGAAAACAAACACAGCAGTATCTGTTACCTTGAGTTCTCGTCAAATGTAGGCCAGTATAGTTTGAGATCTGTATTATTTGTTAATTTGAGACATATTTGGTTCTAAGTGATATTTGACATACATTTTTGATTTGATTTTGTATTGATGCAGTTTGTAGTCATTTTATGACTTTGTTCAGAGATGGCTGCTTCTGCTGCTAGCTGCCAAGATCTTCTCTCTGTTCCAAGCAAACTGTTGTTTCACTGCCAGAAACATTAGAACAGATCATTTCCTGTTTTCCAGAGGATATTTTCTCGGGAATGACTTAAAACCTACTGGGCAGATAGCACGGCAAATATAAAAGCCTTCCTGAGCTGTATCCCTAATGGACTTGTTATTTGCATCCATGTTAAATGTCATTAACAGCTATGGTATGATTTGTACAGGGATCTAGAATATCCATGGGTTTTCAGGTTTCAAACACTTTGCCCTCCTCCCTCTCCAGTGCTCTGTCAGGTTCTGTGTGTCATGGGGAGCTGCAGGGTTTGGCTGACCGGGTGGTGAACTGCCAGGAAGTCCTAGATGCCATGAACCTCCTGGTCCTACAGGTCAGCTGCTTCCCTTACACACTGCAGACCCGCCAGTCCCGCATCAGCATCCACAACGAAGTTCACTGGCCATCCAAAGAAACTCTGGTGAGCATTATTTTAACGTCAAATATTCCGAAGGTAAAAGAAAAGGAATGCAAGTCAATATTCAAGTGTGTCTAATACTACATCCTTTAAAGACAAACAGCATCAACTTTAAGGAGGCATTTGGGGATACAAGGATAATTGGACATCTGAGCTATTACATTATTAAATGGCAGTGTGCAGAGGCCAGTTTTTAACAGTTGTGGTGTAGCTGCTCCCCCTGGTGGACTTAAACTACACTGATATTAACAGGAGAGGGAACATGATCCTTTTTTGGCAATGTTGCCTTAATTTTACAGTTGTAGAGGATAAACATGGGGAGGGAGAAAAGGGTGTGGCATGCAACCATTGTGCTACTAGGGCGCCCCAAGATATGCATTTTTTAAAATGTATTCCTGCTTGTGATACGTCTCTCATACTATTACTGTATGGTGCTATTGAGTTCTGTTTGGTCTGGTTTTCACGTCATTGTGTGTGTACACTTAATCCATAAAAGGGTTTAGGTTAGTCCTAATGATATTTAAGCATGTACTGTTCAATATTTAAATGCATAAATTAAATTCAGATATTTAACATGTTATTTTTGTAGGAGTTTCAGAGCAGAGGAGGAGTGTTAAGGTCATGCTGACATATTGAGCTGAATTTACAGCAGCGTTATATAATATCGAAGTATCGTCTGGATGACAGTATTTAGAGCAGTGGTCCCAAACCTAAAGAGTTAACAGAGCAGCAAAGCAGATAAAAGAATGAATCCACAAAATTATATTTAATTAATTAGACATTCATCTCTTCTTTGTTTTTGTTTTTTTATGTGAATGGCTGCATAATATTCAGATCGATGTTGATGGGTGCATAACCCATACACAGACGTAACTGTTGCAAGTAGACATTGCCTCATTTTAGAGGACAAATAATAATGAGGTGAAAACATTCACTCACAGATAAAGCATCATGCAGTGAGGCTCATTCTGTTCTTAGTAAATTTGTTCTCCTTTTTGACATTACAGCATTGTGATTGTATAAATGGAACAAAGTTAAAAATATCGACACTTAAGAGGGAATGTCAGTTCTTACTGAATGCAATTGCCTATGAACACTCACTCAGATATAATTTTCTTCCAGCAGGGGGAGCAGTCTCCTAATGAGCTGGTCTACTTTGGCCTGAGGGACTACAGCAGCTCCCTGCAGTGGGGCGTGGCCAGCCCCATTCTGCGCTGTGATGATGCTTTTGAAAAGATGGTCCACACTCTGCTGGAAAGGTCAGTATGGTGTCATCTGTGAGAAATCATTAGCACACGAGTTGCTATAATCAAATATCAAATCTTATAGATTTATAGTGTGTTTTATTTCTGGTTGAAATGGTGTTTACTGGCAGTGAGTAGGTTTAAGATTAAGAGAAACGTGTCAAATTTGCACCTGTGTTGATAGGAGACGTCATAATCAGTCATATCTTATCTATTTGTGTGCCAGACATCCACACCTACACAGCATGGTGATCCGCAGCTACCTGCTGATTCAGCAGTACACTGAGGCCATGATGGCCTTGACCTCTTCCCCCTCCCTGAGAGACCACATAACCCCGGAGACCCTGGCCATGGTGGAGGACCTGATCAACGCCCCAAGCAGAGAGGGCTCCCAAGGCCGAGGCCACATGCTGCTAGTTCGAGTCCCCTCGCTACAGCTGGCAATGCTGGCCCGTGAGCGACTAGAGGACGTGAGGGACAAACTGGGCCTCCAGCTGTGCTTCGCTGTGCTGCTGGGAAGCCCCGCCACCGAACTCAACCTGCACAGGAACTTCACCAGCCGCCTCAAGGTGAGAATAACATGAAACCAGAATCATAAGTCATCTATTTTTATTGTGTTTTCCATTAAACATTTTAATTCTTAAATTAAATTGAGATTACTTTCAAGCAAGATGTGTAAAGGATATCAGACCCATGAGTGAAACACTCTTCATCAGTGTTTGAATATTTGAATGAAACTGCATTTTACAGAGAAATTATCAGGGAATTGACTTTACTCTCAACATTCACTTCTCAAATATCTCAAACTTCATTTAAACCTCAGACCCCAAATATTTCTAGTGCCATCATTCCAGTTATTTTATTCTTATCTGCTTTGAACAGTATGACTGTTGACTTGTATAACAGTAAATAAATAATATGGAAGAATAATACCTTAAAATGAGGATTATAGAAAAATGTTTTCTTTAATTACATTTGTATATAACATTGGTAATAAACTAAAATAAATCCTCTTTCTTATGTACATTTGATATCTGAGTCCAGTATCAGCCCAAGATGCATTATTGGACTAGTTCTAAATGATAATTGTGTTTTGCTGTAGGCGTGGAGAGGCTGTGAGAATGAAGACTGGGTGCCGCACACTTATGAGGATCTGGAAGGGCTGCCATGCATCGTCATCCTTACTGGGAAGGACCCTCTTGGAGAAACATTCCCCAGGTAAGCTCATATGTCACATCAGAATTGTTAAAGTATAGTACGTGTCCTATTAGCTCATCTATAATTCCTCTTGGTGTGCCGTTGCTGTGTCTTTTATTTATCCTCCTAGTGTAGTTTTACACTTCTACATTCACAAAGTGTGTGTTGTCTTCTCCCCAAGAGAGGTTCAGTTACGTTATCTCACGCAGCCAGTGTGTCAGTCATGGGTCGTGTATCTCTATTGTGTCAGCATCAGTAAACCATGTTAGATTTATAGCACAAGCATTAAAATGAGTGATTTAACCCCATGTTCAATACGATTTGGGCAACCTGATTGTGTACATTTTACAAATAAACAGATTTTGGCTTAAAATCCATTTTGAAAATTAAAAGTCTTTGGGAGAGAACACAGAAATATGCATTAAATAATTATCCAAATATATGACCTTTTCTCAACAACAATCTTGTTCACACTTCTAGGTCTCTGAAATACAGTGACCTGCGTCTCATAGACTCCAGCTACCTGACTCGTACAGCTCTGGAGCAGGAGGTGGGTCTGGCCTGCACCTATGTGACCATGGGCGTGGTCCAGGAGCCCACGAAGACCATGGCCCCTCGGGAATCAGATGGAGAGAAGGCCACCACCAGCTTGAATGATGGGGATGAGCTGGAAAGGCCTCAGAGCAACGGCAGCGCTGCAACCAGAACCTCTGGTAAGTCCCTGACCTCCCTGAGATACTGTACCTGTGGTACCTTGCAAAATGTAAAAGATGTCAATGATGGACAGTTAGCTTTATTTATATATATTTATATTCCCCACCCAGGCTCATTGGCAGAGAATGGTGTCAGTTCCTCTGACGTTGCCGACGCCTTACAGAAGCCCTCCACCTCCGCCTGCCCCCCTGAAGGTGCCGTCACCTGTGACATGGGCACAGTGACACAAGGCTTCAAGCAGGAGTGCGATTCCCTGGGAAGCCAGCTCTCCTCCAACCCCTCCAAAACCTCCAAGGCACCACCTTCTCTTTACTCTAGTTCCTCCTCCTCCTCCCCCTCACCATCCTCCTCCTCCACTCAGAGGCCCAGCCAGTCCACACAGTGCGGTCGAGACCCTAAGCCCACCCGGGTGTCACCGCGGACAGTCATCATGTCACGGGCAGCGTACAACCTGCTGGCGGGGGAGTCGGGGAGTCAGCTGAGCTCCTTCTCCCTGCTGCCTCATGCGGATGTGGCCTGGAGCAGCCCGTTGAGGCCCGTTATCACTCACAACCTGCAGGGGGCGGATCAGAGCATGTACTACCGCCAGTGGACCATCGCCAGGCAGCATCACGCTGATTATGAAGCACCACCTGTGCCACATCCAAGACGCCTGCTGCTCAGTGGACCCCCACAGGTACCAAGACAGAAGTGCTGGTAACCTTTAAGTGCATCATCAGCTGTATTTCCATATATGTGAATTGGAATGATTGGCTATTGTAATAAGTTATTTGGGGGATACAGTCATTTTAATTACAAAACTTAAGCAGAAACTGTATTTTTTGCAGTTTTTATTTTTACATCCGGATTATTTTTTACTGTAGCTGACTTTGTAATTGAAGTAAAAGGCCTGAATATTATTGCTTCCTAATTCTTTGTTTGAAATTGTGAAAATAAAATCAAGGTCAATGCTTATATGCAATTAATTATGCATCTGGATGTATCATCATTGTAACACCGAGTACTTTTTTTTCCTGTGCTAGGTGGGAAAGACTGGTGCCTATCTGCAGTTTCTTCGTATCCTGTTTCGAATGCTCATCAGACTGTTGGAGGTAGATGTGTATGATGAAGAAGAGGAGGAGGAAGAAGGTGAAGATCACTGGGATTTACTGACTCATCTGTTCTGACCTATACATATTATTATTATTATTATTATTATTATTATTTTTTATTTATTTATAAACACACCATAGATATAACAAGGAACTGAATGTCATATTGTCCTTTTTATGGCGGTGATCAAGTTTTTGTTCTCATGTTTTCATGTTCTTTTCATCTCCAGAAACATCAGAGGTTCCAACTCCAGTATATAACCAGTTACCTGACATTGAGGATGTTCGAAAGCTGCCCTTTGACCCTTACCCTCAGGACCCTAAGTTCAGGAAGGCCAGCCCTGTTTACACTGACAAGATGCCAAAGTGCTCAAAAGGTCAGCAGAAATATGCAAACATACAACAACGGCAGTCTCCGAGTTAAACATCTTAAACTGACATTGTAATCACAGCATGGGTGTTCATTTACTCTTAGTTTACATTTAGTTTAATCTCAAAGTAGAAGTGTGAACATGTTTGATGCTGGCTATCTGCAGATTTTAAGCAAGAAGGAGAGAGCCAAACACCAGCCAAACGAGAGACCAGGTCCATACGTCTGAGCAGGTTTGCCGCCCACAATGCCTTTCATCACTGTGAACAGTGTCACCACTACTGTGAAGCAGGTCCTGCCACACAGGTGAGTGCATTATGCAGGCTTACATCAAACATCTAAGGCACTCATCTACTGCCTTCTTTGCACATATCCTAACCTGTCAAAATACTTTGACACTTGAAAGTTTGAGAGCTCTTTATTGTGTAGTCATGCTTAATGGCAATCTCTCTGTGTTAATAATTCATGTGCGTGTGTGGATGTCTGTGTTGCAGCTGTCGGAGTGCACCTTCCATGCTTTCACCTTCTGCTCGTCCATGCTGGGGGAGGAGGTCCAGCTCCAGTTTGTCATTCCTAAAGCCAAAGAGCAGCACTTTATCTTCAGTCAGCAGGGGAGCCACTTGGAGAGCATGCGCCTGCCTTTGGTCTCCACCAAGGTTAGTTTACTGTACACATTGGTGAGAATTTTTGTTTGTGTGTATGTCTGGGGAGGACGGGAAGTTTAAAACTGAAGGATCACACTTTGGACACTGTTTTTAATCTGTTTTTCTCTCTATGTCTCTCTCTAGGACCCTGATCTGTTAAAGAGTCCAATCTTCACCCCAACTACAGGACGCCAGGAGCATGGCCTGCTCAACATTTTCCATGCCATGGAGGGCGCCACTCATCTGCATATTCTGGTGGTTAAGCAATTCGAGATGCCCCACTACAGGAAGTACTGGCCCAACCACATTCTGCTCGTCCTGCCAGCTATGTTCAACAACGCAGGAGTTGGTGAGAAGCTTACTGAATTAATTCAACAGAGATTTTTTTTTTTTACTCATCCCCTCCATTCATTAATACACCAAACAACAAACTTACGCAAAAAAACTCACCTGGTAGAGCTGGCGACCATGTACCGAGTTGCTGCAGCGGCCCAGGGTTCGACTCCGACCTGCGGCCCCTTGCTGTGTTTCATCCCCTCTCTATACCCCCCTTTCCTGTCCATCTTCAGCCGTCACTATCAATAAATGCAATAAAAGGCCAAAAAAATACAATTAAAAAAGGCTAGATTTAGTGGCTTTAATGAAATTAGCATAGAATTGATCAGACAAACACAATAAACTAAATCTCCCACATGCTTTACTGATTTTTTACAGGTCAAAGATAAATAAGGTTAATGATGCCCTGTGGCGTTTTCTCATAAACAAACAAGTTATGTTCATGTTGCCAAAATGCAAATGTTTATCTTCGAGACTTAACAGTCACATGGACTGTGTTTCCTTCAACGTGCAATGTCGATTTGTGGAATATTTGAAATCCTCTCTGTGTGTTAGCTTGTAGTCTTCTTTGTTTTTGCCTTTGCTGCAGCATTGTTACACACAAACCATTATTCCACATTAATACTAGTGGTACCTTCAAGTCACCTTGCAACTTATCTCTCTGACTGATTTGTTACAGTGAGTGAACCACCTTGGTCATATATTTACTACACTCAGTCACGTTTGTTTACAGTAGGTAAAAGGTTGTCTTAACCAATTGGGGACAGCCATCATGTCTGAAAATGGGTCAGCGTCTACAGCACAATAGTGTGATTTGTAGCTAAGCCAATCAGGTGTATGGCCTTTCTGAAATGGGTGTAACTAAACGTAATTAGTCTCACATTGATTGTGTCAGGCTTAGTGAGTTTATGGGTCCATTTACCCTTTTACCCAGTTTGGTTTACCATGACGCGTGGTAGAGTGTCAACGTGGCTGCCTGCTAATATTTGTATATGGAACGTCTGAACTGCAAAAGTTCACTTTGTAATGCATACAGTCACTATGCGAATGTAATGTTTGCTCTTAAATTTGAAATGCACTGCTTATACCCTCCTGCAGCACTGCCTTTTGGGTTGAAGGGCACTGTAGGTGTTCTGAGTATGTGTAAATGAAACGCTAACACATGTGCTCCTGTCTGTTTAGGTGCTGCTCGCTTCATGATCAAAGAGCTGTCATACCATAACCTGGAGCTGGAGAGAAACCGACTGGAAGAGCAAGGTGTCAAGAGGCAAGATGTATGGCCTTTCATTGTCATGATGGACGACTCCTGCGTGCTGTGGAACTGCCACCAGTCAACAGACAGCAGGTAATAATTGTTAGAGTTTTTCACTTTTAGCTATAGTTACCCCGTTACTAAGCTTAAAAATGTGTATATTAAAATATTTAGAGACCACTGTTAAATGAAAAATGTTCATATTTCCACCCCCCAAAAAACATTCTCGTGTTTTTGTACCCTTCTCTTTCTCTCAGTGAGCCATCGGATGGAGGCTCAGCCTTCACCAACGTATCTCTGAAGATGGTGCTGCAGCATATGGAAACCACACCAAAGATCTCCCTGTACGCAATGTGCGGTACGCGCAAGTGGAGCAGCAGCCTGGCTCGCAGGTCTCCCAGCCACCCCTTCAGTCGCTGTCACCTCCACGACTTTGTCATGCTTAATGTGGACCTGACGCAGAATGTTCAGTATGACCTTAATCGGTAAGTCTAGTGGAGGGTTTTGTCAGTGGGTCACACATTCTGGGATCTGTGCGGAGTCTTAATGTTCTGGCTTGGCTGTTTTGTTCCTATGTGCAGGTATAGCTGTGAGGAGGTGGACTTTAATTTAAGGGTGAACAGCAGTGGGCTGCTGCTGTGTCGCTTCAACTACTTCAGCCTCATGAAGAAACACATTCCAGTTGGGGGAAACAAAGACTTCCTGGTCAAACCTAAACTCATGGTGGGTGTCATATTCATACAACATATGCCCATTTGTAAGTGGGTTTCTAGTGAATTAATTGGTCTTCTTTCAAGCACTAAACTGTTTTTTTTCTCTCTCCAGGAAATACAAAACCCCGCCACCATCAGTCCGTCCCAGTATGTTTGTGCCCCAGACAGCGAGCAGACCCTCCTGGATGCCCCGGCCCAGTTCCTACTTGAAAGGTTCCTGCAAAGCTGCAGCCACAGACTGTTTCCAAAGGCTGTTCAGAACAGAAACAACCCAGTTCTGTCCATCGACAGCTACCTCAACATCAGCCCAGAGGTAAGAGCTCCCAGGAGGTTGCGGCTAAAAGCAGAAGAGGAGACTATTAGCATCACCCCTTCGACTTTACAAGAAAACTATTGTGAAAACCTCTTTTGGGATAGAAGACAAGCCTTGTTGTGCCTGGGACTTGCTGAATTTCATACATTTGTACATAGTGTGCTTTGTTGTTTCGTTTCTTTTTAAGCGTTAACTATTACAAAAGCAAGGAAATTCTGCTGACTGAGTTTATTTCAAATGTTTTTCAGTCTTAAACTTGTTGCACGATTTCACCATCTGTTTTGCTTGGAACATTCTGACCTGCATCCATGCACATGTGCAAACAGTGAATGCTAACAATGCAGATTTGTACTGTGCATTTGTGCTGTATTATGTGCATTTGTTTGTGTATTCGCCTGTAATGGAAATAAATCATGACAGACAGTTGCACACAATGCAACCTATACATTTGCTTGTAAAGACGGCCCCAATAGCTCCCTGCAGGGATTATTAAGGTTTCATAATGATTAATTCATTCATGTGAACTTTTCCTTTAGTTTGCTTGAGTGGGATTAATGAAGTGTATATTCTCGTATCTATTGCCACAGATTTCAGTGTGCTACATCAACTCTCGTCCACACTCCACCAACCTGAACCACCAGGGTCTGTTGTTCAGTGGTCTGCTGCTTTACCTCTGTGACTCCTTCGTTGTCTCCGGACTCCTCAAGAAATTCCGCTTCCTCAAAGGTGACTCATCAGTGTAGTTGTGGTTATTGCCACTGCTTCTGTTGTTGTTGTCTCTGTTGTTATATCATCTAGTTTGAGATATCTTACAGTGGTAGGGCTGAGTGTGGTATGTGACAGTACTGTATGTTGCCATTGGAACACCCTGTGTATATACCCCTACAGCTTTTAGTGTGTGTTGACACATTTTTGTTAAACCAGTAAGTCAAGAACAATGAATGGTAGAAACTTTATGCATAGATAGCATAGATAGCTCTAGGGCATATCCATCACTCACTTTGTTGTCTTTCTTTTTTTTCAAAGTCTTAGCCAGCACAGCCTCTAAGGGCCACTAGCAGGGATTTTTTGAGACTAGTACTCCAGTTTTGACTTTTTTTTTAACCATGGTTGTGTCCACAGGTGCCACTCTCTGTGTGATCAGCCAGGACCGAAGTTCGCTGCGTCAGACCATCGTCCGACTAGAGCTGGAGGATGAGTGGCAATTCCGCCTGCGGGACGAGTTTCAGACAGCCAACTGCAGCGAGGACCGGCCCCTCTACTTTCTGACTGGCCGCCATGTTTGAACCTGAAATGTCCTGGGTCCACTGCTGTGCTGCAGAAACACAATCAGGAATGAGGATAGATTTGATTCCAAACCAGCCAGCAATCACAAATCTTGCCATTCCAGTGGAAGATCAGAGGGGATATGCTGGAACACAAGATCCAAAGTGCCCCACAAGGACACATGGCTGCCTAATTTGGCTTCCCCTACAACTGTACTACCACAGTGCACTATGCCTGGCTCCAAAGTGGGTCAGTGCATATTTTAACTCTTGCTTGTAGCTGGGCTTGTCTCCACTTGAGCTTGTGTTCTACTGAAAAAGACTTTGCTGTAAAAAGAAAGCACAGCTGAAACTGAACTTTATTTGTTTTGTTGTTGTATTTCGCAAAAATGGACGCTCGCCGATCAATGATGTGACTATTTGAAGATTGTATGTGTACATGGACTTTGACTGTATGTTCTATTCTGGACATGCATGTTTATCTCAGGGTTTTAAAGGGAGATCCAAAGGAGGTTGTTCAAAGGGGTAAAGCTTTCCTCCAACTTCATTTTTGGCATTAACCTATGTTGGCACCAAAGACGTCTTACCTGCTCTGCCTCTCAAACTCGGCAAAGCTATAAGAAGTCAGCTCATTACATTAAAAAAATAAACTTAAGAGGTTGGCCCGCATTGGATTTATATCATCATGAATAATTCTACTATGGGTTTCAAATAATAAGCCACTATTTGAGCTGGTACATTTAATCTGCAAATAGTGACCCCCTTTCCTCTTGTGCCTCCTAAAAATATTTATGTGGCATTGATAATCTGTCTGTGTGTGGTTTTAGTTTCCAGATGATTTACACACAAATGTATCCAAAGACTTTAATCACAACTAAAGAAAAGTACAACTTTTCAAGAATGTAGTACGTTAATGTTCTATCATGGGCTTGAATATAGAACTATGAAGCAGGTCTGTTGTCCAAAACAGATTTATCTGACTTGCCACAGGGATTTACTCCTCTGTTAATGTGGGATGCCAATCACATGGAGCAACATGGAAATAAGACTTGTTTACTGGTTTGCTCTAAATGACATATGTTTTGTATTTAGGCATCCACTGGCTTAAATATTGGGTATTTTAAGCATAACCACATCGCGTCAGTAAATGCTATATAGAAATCACTGCCAAATATTCTGCTACTGACTGTCTTGGCTACCACCCACACATTAAACTCATAATCTGCCATATTTTGCTGCCAAACCAAAGGGTAATCAAGGAAGCTTTACACACTCAAAAGCGGTTGACCAGATCATTCCATAAACTTGAAAGTGGAATGTTTTTATATGTTTCTGCACAGGGTTGTCCAAAGAATATGCCTTAAGTGACGTTTCATACAGTCACTACAGAACTACTACAGAATGAAGAAACCATTTAACTGTGAGGCGAAAAAATGTTGTTTCTCTGAGTGAAGCAAAATGAAATAATTGGATTTCGGACTACTGTACTGTTTAAAGCTTTGTTTACATTATTAATATATTATATCATCCCCTTAACCACTGAGGGTTATTGATGGTTTTTTTAGTCTTGTGTAACTTTTGCCAGTATATTTTGGTCATGATGTCTTTCTGCATTTTATGTTGCAAAGGCAAGAAGAATCTACCTAGATGTGTCCTTAACCATATGTCTGTATTCCTTCCTGTTCTTGTGTTGGATTTTTATTGAAAATGAAAATCAGGTCCATGAGGGATTCTTATTTATTTGACAAGCATTTTGGACTGATAATCATATTGAAGTGTTATATTTGATTGCATGCTGAGCTCGATTAAACCGAGGGAGTGTGTCCTCTTCAAAACCATCCACGAAGGCTTTGCAGAAGACCCAAACGAATGATTCTTAGATCTACTGAATGTCATTGGGGGTAGGGAATGTGAACTTGCACTACAAGTTGCCAGCAGAAAAATATATTCCCCACCATTAAATGAACCCAAAAATCAGTCCAAATGTAAGACTGGTGATCAAAACTTTTAACTTAAACTCCAATGGTCCATAGAATGTGTCTTTCTTATTAATAATTTAACACTTAATATGCAACTTGCTCTCACAATCTTCACTGAAATGTGTTTGATGACCATGTGCCCAGTGGTAGCCTTGGTGTCTGGGTGATCTACCTCATGTTTACCATTGTGATTGTGGGCTGTGAACATATAACATTAGAGCCATGCTATTGTTGTTGAAAATGTATGAATGTAATAAATTGTCTTCTAAATTCATTTGCATTTTTGTTTGTTTGTTTTTAATGTTTACATTGTATGTGTTTTTCATCTGGAAATCTGAAATCATGTCACAGTAGCACAAACACAGTATATCATATAGGACAAATAGTTGTCAGACATAGCCATTCTAATTTCTAGTTATTCTGTAACTAACTAAGTGATATCCCTTGTGATTAGTAAACTATGAACTCTGTGTGTAAAATTGGTGGAGTGCCCCTTTAAGCTCTGATTTCCATTTGCTTTGCCTATTTCTGTTATTTTGGTGTGCTTTCCCATGCAGCTGCTGAGTATTTCAAAGTGTGATGTGAGTGCATAAATACACAGCTTAAGCAGTGTTGTTAAAATGCATGTGCAGCTCTGTCTTTAGCCTGTGATTAATAATCCTCTCACTCTCCTCTGCATCCACTCAATCTCAGATCTTTTTATTAGAGAGTAAATCCCTGGGTCTTGCTCATTTCCCAGTCACCTCCTTTTCTGATATTTGTCTCCCCTCAACACCTCCCAAGCCATGCTTTGAAAATGCACAGTGACCCTCTCACTATCAAGAGCAGAAATGGCTGTGAAGAGGCTGCTGCAGGATCTTCTCTGGCTTCACTGTAAGGGCACAGGGGCATTGTTGGTCCAGGGACAGTACTATTTCAGCTCTTGCAAGGTAATATTAGACCACATTTTCCATCAACCTACAACCCCTGTGTGATATAACACAAGGCTATTTTCAGCTAGCTGCAGCAGGGTAGGATAAGGGAGATAGGGCAAAAAAGAGTGGCTGACATGATTCTTGCACCTCATAATTGCTCTTTTGAGACAAGCAGAAAGATGTTGTGCACAAATTGTCATTTATGACAAACTGGAGACTTCCAGTGCTTAAAAATGAGGGCAAAGGGGTAATTGACAGTTTTATGACTATAACTACACAATATGCAAACATTGGCTTTCTTTGACTTCTCTCGATTATGCCATAATTTTACACGCGGCACACAGTTTCATTGTTTGATTTGTCCTTTTAGATATTTCAACAAATCCTTTGAAGGAAAGAGAGGAAATGTCTCCTGATAATTCCCTCTTCCATTTTTCTTTCACTTGAGTCCTCAGGCAATGCAGTACTTAATATGAAACTACTTTCAAACAGTGACATGATTAAAAGTATCACTGCACCATACCACTGTGAAATATCCTTTATTCCACTTTAACACCAAGAACATTGTTTGTTTATTGATCTGTAACTCAAAAATTATAGTACATTCTCACATTAGCAGAGATATCAACAACATTTATAATAGAGGGATTCCTGCAACATAATATCAATTTTCGTAGATGGTAAGCAGCAGTAAATTACTCATCCCTTTTGGCAGTCTACTCTAATTACTCTCAGGCTTCAATAAACCATCTAGCTAAAACCAAAGCTCATCTGTCTGCGGGCTTATTGGGGGGTTGGGGTGAAGGTAAGTGGAGTGCCGGGGGATTACAGTTTGCCTTTGGTGGATCACATCCACTACTGCAGCAATGCATATCCTATCAACAGCTAAGCCTGTGAGTGTGGAGTAAGTCAATTCCAGGGACCAAAAGCCAATACTGTGATGTAAGAGGAGAGGGAGCATGAGCCTCCGGTGACACACTGGTCAGGCAGTAAGCCAGCTCCAGTGGTAAGACTGTAAAATGTCTTGACTTCAGGGCACAAGTCTTTGACCAATGGTGAAGTCCTGTGTGAGCTTGACACCTCACGTGACTGATGACCTTCTGAACTAGCAGTCCGGGTATTATCAGTATTCAGCCACAGGTGTAAAACCCCATTGTTTAGGCAAAGGAAGAAAGAAAGAATTGCTGACAAAAGGCAATTGCGGTTAATTATTCTAATGTGCAGTACACGGTCAGTCGAGCAATCAAATGTACTCTGTTGAGAAAATGCATAACAAGCAGAAGCACTAGAGACAGCACACAAATTGACCTAGACTCTGTTTAATCATTTATTAAATACAGCATATTACAATGTTGATAATGTGCATATACTGGTACTTATACTATAGACATATTTTAATTTAAAATCGTATTGCTGCACATGTTAAACAGAATGTTTATACATATATATATATATATATAATATATATGTAGTGTATAAAATGACATGCAGCATCCTATGAAAAACAAACAAACATGTCCTTTGTGCTACAGATTACGAAGTGATGTTAAAGTTCAGGACATGATGATGCTGATGACACACATGCTACTCAATGGACACTTGGCAGAACAAACAGACACCGAAATTCCACAGGAACAGGAAGTCATAATCCTTCATGCAGTGCATTACTGAAAGTCTGGCTGCAAGTCAGATCTGCCTGTTTCATGGATGCCAACTCATACACGGTGGCCAGCCCCTTGATCATTGTTGGCGAAACAAAAGCAACAAAACGACTGACAACCAGGTTTCACTAACGATACTATGCATCTTGGAAAGCAACATCCACCATTTCAAACAGCCAATATGTACACTCTCCGTCTTCCTATGTGCATTACTTCATTCACATTACTGTGTCTAGTACCCTCAGACTTACTTCCAATAATAACCACAAGAAGAAAACCTCATGGAATTCATATACTGCTCTGTTCAGCCTTTGGGATATACTGTCATATATCGAATGAAATGAAGTGCCTTGCATTAAGGAATAAGAGGCATGATAGTATCAACTAAAATAGTGCAATTTCACATTCCTTGTCATTAATTAATTATTCTCCTTATAATACATTTGTAAAACTATTTGGTGTGCGTAAAGGTAGAACGTGTGAAAGTAAAAGTGCATGCAGAAGGTTAAAGGAAGGGGTAGTTCAACATTACGGGAAAAAAGACAATTTGCTTTCTTGCCAAGAGTTAGATGAGAAGATTGATACCACTCATATGTCTGTAGGTGACATATGCCATTTAGCTTAGCTTAGCATCAGGACTGGAGGCAGTGAGGAAACAGCGACTTTGGTTCTGTCTAAAGATAACAGAATCCACTTACGAGCAATGGCTGGCAGGGTTTTTTCAACTATGGAGAGCCAGGGTAGCTGTTGCCCACCGTTTCCAGTCTTTATGCTAAACTAAGCTAATCGGCTACTGGCTGAAGCTTCAAATTAATTGAACATGAGTCGTATCTATCTTCTCATGTAACCCCACAAGAAAACAAATAAGCATATTTCCCATGATATCAAACTATGACTTTAAAGAAAAAAAAAACAACCGTATGTCAACTATTAAATCACATCTACCTTTAAAAGAGAAAAATACAAACAGAAGTATGATTGACAAAACAAAATTACACAAGAAGGAAAGACATATGAGTAAATAAAGACAATCCCTGAGGGCTAAAATCCTACTGATATGAGTATGAAAGGACGCTTCATGAACAAAGATGATTTTCATGTACAGTACTTGTGTTAACTTCAAAAGAGAATAATTGCACAAGGTAATTGCAGAATTCATTAGCTAGCTAATGCAATTAAACAAGATGGGCACAGATTAAGCTTTTCAATAGTGACATGAACAGCTACACTTGTTTTTTAATAAGCCTGCTATGGAGAGCATGATTACATACAATGACTTGTTAACTGTATGGAATAAATAAGTGACCATTGAATGCAACACAATAAGCTGCATTCAATAAGATGTGGCTTTCAAATGAGAAAGAATGTTTTTTTGCTTGTGGCAGGAGGAAGAATGGGACGGAAGGATGGAGGGCAAAGATAAAAATAAAAAGATAATGGAAGGAAGGAAATAGGCAGAATAGGATTATGTAGAGAGGGATGGGATATAGGATGGATGGAATGCAGTAAGGAGGAATAAAAGACAAGGATGAAAGAGGGGAAAACAGGAAGGTAGGAAAAAACAAGGAAAAATGGAATCATAAATGGAAGGAATAAAGTATGGAATTCACAAAGGAAAAATGGATGACAAAAATTAAAGATTAAAGAAAGGAAGGGAAGAAAGAATAAAGGAATAAGAGGAAGTAAAACTTCAGGAACACTTTTGAGTTTTCTTATCAGGAGAGGTCCGTGAGCCGGCTGCCTTGTTCGATGACCGCCTTAGCAAACTGCTTGAAGACTCGGTCCATGTACGTGCTCTGCCGAGGCCACAGGCCCTCGAGGAAACCAATATGGCCACCGTGACAGGTAATGAGCAGGGCCAGGTTGGGATTCTGCTTCACAGCCTCCACTGGAATGGCTGTAAAGGAAACAAAGAGGATTCAGATCCTGTTCTCTTCCCTGTGGACCAGATTCTCTGTCTTTATTGCACAGAAAATCTGAAGTTACTTGGACTTACCATGAGATGGGGAAAATACATCATCAGCAGCGTTCAGACACAGCATTGGCACCTGCACAGATTTCAGCCTGTGGACAGGACTGGCATCATGGTAGTAGTCATCATTGGTAGAATAGCCAAACATTATGGAGGTGAACCTCTCGTCAAACTCTCGAATGGTCCTTGCCTGTAGGGACAGAGTACATTGATTAAATGTTGCCTACTTCATTTAATTAGATTAGCATTTATGGCTGAGTGTCACTGAAAATAATCCCGACCTTCATGACATGATCGATGTCGTAACACTTTTCAAGCACTGGTCTGTGTCTGCGGGGGAGATTAAAAATAAAACTGTCATTGACTACTGTTAGGTGAAATGATTGCAGCTGAAAATGTCCCTTAAAAACGCTGACAAATATGTAACAAGAGTCAAACTCAACCTTCAAAGTAGTACTAAAAAAAGCATTACTGTGCATTTATATCAGGCCCATGTTAACACATAGATTGGAATTTATTGGGGGTATTATCATTTCTAAATGATACCAGGCTTTTTTTATATGTTTTAATCATCCAAGAAAAAAAAACAAACAGCAGAAGTGAAGTATTTTTGCCTCCAACTGTAAAAAGCAAACTCTTGATCAACATATAAAAAATGAATACATAAAAACCAGCTATTCAAGCTCCCTAAACATTTAGCCCGTAGCACTAGCAGAGAGTTAGTGGC